TTTCAGGGTTTCTCAAAATTTTCATTTCATTGTTATTATATTATTCATCTATGTATTATAACAGGCTAAACTCTCTCATGGTTGGAAACTTGGAGACTATGGGTATGATGGCTGTGGGCGGGCGGTTGCTGCCAGTGTCATTGGTGGAATAGCTGCGAGAGATCTTCTGGCCACACCCCATTCAGCCATTTCACCAATGGCGTCGGAGCAACCGCCCACCCCCAGCCATTGTGCCCACTGCCTTTAAGGTCATGTGGATTGTATATTTCATGTGACTTAGTAACAATGTCGCAACTATGTACTGGCCAATAACGTTTGCACGCCAAATTAAAGGCAGAGACCGCGATCATCCGCCATCAGATGCTGATCTAGGGGTTTGATGTCAACGACAGAGCTTCGAGTAACTCGCTAGTAAAGAAAAAAAAACAGAAAAACATGCCAGTTGTCCGAGATAGATTCTCACTCCGATCCCGGTGTGTACGTGCCCAGTTAACTCCATCAATACGCCCTCTTCCGCACTCTGAACATAGTTCCTATTGCTTTCCCCGATAGGAACTCTACGACCGTACAAGTGACGATTTTCATGCTCCTGCAGCTTCATTTTTCGCTGAAAAGCGGGCCTTGAAGGAGGAGTCTAAAGGCGGAGTCACTGAACCTATGTTGCGCTATAGCGCCCCTCCCTTACAACTTTTCGGAACCGTACAAGGTTGTTCGTCGCGGACCACACTACCCTCCCAACGCCATATTTTCAACTTCTATACCTGATCGCGGACCGTGCCCTCAAGAAGTGGAGCAGTGTGTCCCAAGAGCAAATCACTAGCAGAGAACGAATAGCCCCTATATGAGCTGGTATTTATCGAATTTATCGAACTCTCAGAAAATCTATCTGTTGATGGAATAATAATGTCACTTTCAATTAGAAAACGAATTTTCATCGTGGTGGGATAGTGACACTTCGTATTGCAATAGGTGATTTGGAAAAGTTCTGGCATAGTCACGTCACTCGGGAAGCTCACATTAAGTAATGGGCTCTTCGAGGGATCGTTTGTGTGCCCGCATACATTATTCGGACATTGCACTTACATCCCACCACGTTTCCCGGACTTTGGCGAATAACTCACGAAGTCGTCATTACGCCCACTGTCGTCAGCTCCCAAGCTATCTTTTATTTCAGTGTTACTTGCGAACCTCTTATCTGTAATCCTATGGTCTCTAGATCAGTTCTGACCAACCTCACTTATACTATTTGGCTCTCCAACGCTATCACTAGGGTGCGCGTTCAGAAC